CACCCCCGCTCAGGGTGCTCCTCACTGCCTCCAGGAGAGCTCACTTCAAAACAGAGAGAGAGAGGTCTAGTTTTCTCTCTCTCACACACACACCAATAAAAGTGAAAATTCTTTTCAGATTTCTTGTGGTTATCAAAAACATGTACTAAAAGTGAAGTGGGAAAACAAAATGTGAAGTGACATAAAATGTACTTTCAAAAGTGAAGAAGACCTGTATTTAACTGCCTCCCCCTCCCTACACATACACCACAAGGTCCAATGAGCACTTATCATTGTGTGTTGAACTTAATCATGGAGAACGGAGAGACAGAGGTCCAGAGGTCCACGCCTAGTCGGTGAAAGAAAGTCCGGGATGAGATTAGATACAGAACAACAGGTCAGTGTGCTGCCAGGGCAGTAAGGTCAACAATGGTGAAGGTACCTCTTTCATCGGCAGGATGATTTACATCGCTATCAGCCCTGATAGCTGGTGGGGCTGCTAACTAACCTCAAGGTCAGGGTTTAGGCCCCTCAGGCTCTCTGCAGGGGAAAGAGGAAGCTGCCTGCCCCTGTGATGACAGTAGACTGGGAAACCCTATAGAGTCGTTCTGCCCTGTCCTGTAGGGTCACCGAGTTGATGGCAGGAGGTCTTGGGGTATCTGTCAAAAAAAATCCGTGGTGACAAATGGGGTCCCTGGGTCGTACAAATGGTTCGTGTGCTGGGCTCCTAACCAAGAGGTTGGCAGTTCTAGCCTACCCGAGGCACATCGGAATAAAGGCCTGGTGCGCCACATCTGCAAAACCAGGAATTGGAAACCCCTGTGGAGTTCAGTTTTAATTCTGCAGGTTAGAACCTGCCTTCAGATTCTGGGCCTACGGGAGGACATGCTTCAGGCAGTCATTCCCCAGAGTCAGAAGGCCTGTAGGCAAACTTGCTATTGTGGTTCGGTGCCATCGAGTCGGCCCTGACCCGTAGCGACCCCACGCACAATGGAACAAAACACTGCCCGGTCCTGCACCATCCTCACAGTTGCTCCTGTGCTGAGCCATTGACAGCATGGCTGAAACAATAGGCAAACTTGTCTTCTGGTGTGACCCTGACAGCATGTGCTCTATGGTTTTAATACCTAAATATTTATCCGTAAGGAGCCTGGTGTGCTGACCTGGCCCTCCGTGGGAGAAGGACCCGGCTTTCTGCTCCCTTCCAGGTTGACAGCCTTAGGAACCTGGGGTAGGGTCACTGTGAGTTAGAAGCGGACTCGGCTGCAGTAGGGGATGCAGTAAGCATGGCAGTTTTGTTGTCTTGGTTTTTGAACCTGTGATAGGTGTCCTTTTGTGTCGATGTTGGGCTTAATGTTGCGTGTGGCTGTAGCTCACTCTTTTTCCTGGTTCACTAGTTTTCCACGGCAGGATTGTACCGCGAGTTCCGGAGCTTGTGGT